CTTATTTGCAACTTTGGGCTGTTTACGCAGGCTTAGCTTCACTTTAGCATAGTTTTGTTGTGATTGAGCCTTTTGTTTAAAATGGCAGGTCCAGTAAAAGGAACGAACAAAACATTAGCCGTGAATTGATCTTCCATAATATTTCGGCACTCTACAAAGTGCAACACTATTTTACAGTGTTATCTTTTATGCTACATAGGATATCACTAATTTACCATTCTTGAGAGCTAATTCATTGAATCTTCCTGCTTTAGGCACTATGGATTCACCGGAGCCAAGAATTGAGGTCGAACAGAAACCTGTTCTTGCTAGTAACACTAAAGAGCAGGTAATTATTTGTTTTAAATATATTTTATACAAGTTTTCACCCTTTTCTGATTGTTGCAATACCTTCTTCTACCTCAGACCATTCCAGCGAAGGATGAGAAAACTGTTAAACCCACTATTTCACTTGATTCAAGTGTTATCAATCTACCAAGTGATGGACAAGCCCAGGCTGGCACATCCAACATAGGTGGGGAACATAATGTTGTGTTTCCACAACACATGTATTCCTCTCAGGCACAGCCATTCTATTACCAAGGTGAGTTAAATTTTGTGCTGCACATACAAAGTTGTATCTTCTAGATGCATGGTTGTTATTCCCTTGTTTTTGAAGGAAGTATATTTTTACACTAACATGTATACTTCATCATCTGAGGGCAAAACTAATACTCCCTCCGTCCCAAAATAAGCGTCTCAAACTTAGTACAACTTTGTACTACTTTAGTACAAAGTTGAGACACTTATTTTGGGACGGAGGGAGTAAGAGATAATAATCGAAGAAGCACCATCGGATGCTATTTGGGAATATATGTACTGGAAGGATCTCGAAAGTTGTCATTTATTGTGAAATTGCCTGTGACCTGTAAGGATTCATATGCATTCTGCAGTGAACAAATAATGAAATAATAAGAACTTAGGCTCAGTTTGATATTATTTATCATATATAGTGTTTGACTAAATTACTAATTTTATTTTGGAGAGAGAGCATATTTGATGCCATCATATTTTAATGTCTTCTGAAATTTTGGAACTTTTCTCTTGAGTTGATGAATGATATTATTGGTTCTGTGGCATGGCATGAGCAGGTCCAGGATATGAGAATCCTCCAAATGAATGGGATGTATATCCTCCTTATGCGGAAGGATTGGAAGCGGGTCCAGCGGTAAGTTGATTTGCTTAGTTGTCCAGTATTTCTGTGATGTTTTCTTTTTCTCAGTTTGACTGTTTTTTTGAAGGTTGTGTACAATGAGGACCCTTCAATGATGTACCATGGTGGCTATGGCTATGACCCTTATGCTCATTATTCTCCTATCTCGACGCCGGTACCGGCTGGTGTTAGTGGAGATGGTCAGCTCTACTCTCCTCAGCAGTTCTCCTTCTCGGCTCCTTACTACCAGCAACCAGTACAACCTGGCATGCCGTATTTAAGCTCTCCTACTCCAATATCACAGGGTGAGGCAATGATGCCAATTGACCCAACACAAGGAGCTTTTATGGCTGACACTCTGAGCCCAAACAGCTTCCTTTTTGGACCAAGACCGGGTTATTATCTATCTCATGCTTTGTTTAAAATATTTTCATTTAAGCCCCATGCTTAGGTGTGATTATAACTGTGTTCCTTGAACTGCTATTTTGCAGAATGGTTTAGATCGTCAGAAGGAACTGGTTCATTTCCATCACCTGCAGCTTCACCTCAACCATTTGGTGGTGTTTCAGGGCCGTTTGGACAAAGCAACTTTCCTATGGCTTCTGGGATGGTATTCTTTTCACATTACATCTCTTGTCATATAAGAATAATAGCAATTTAGATATTTCCACAATAACTTTTTTATCTGCATTTATTTGTAAGAAACATACTCCCAAGAAAACTACTACTCCATCTGATGTGTCTCTTACTCTTGTAACGCGCCTTTTAAACCCCTAGTTCGCTCATTCATGCTTCTCACATTTACCATAAAACTCAAAGTTCAAACTCCTCTACCTAGCATTTTCATTGAAGAGTTTGGACGCAATGACTTCCGATATGCCATATCATGATGACAAAACGACAAAAACATGGCCAAATCCTGTAATAGATTAGCCTGACACTGTCTAGTTGCAATTTGGGCTGAAGCTCTGCTTCCAGATGCAATCAGCGCTTGCTGGACGTGTACACACGAGCTTATATTAGAATGATGACCTGTTCTTTCTGTGCTGATGTATATGATAATTTGACAACAACACTATTAGTGATTATAACAAGACAGGATCTAAATCGTTAGTACTTGGATCTAAACTTGGCTTTCCCCAATTTCAGATGTCCCCTCAGCAGAAATCTTTCTTTGGTTTTGGAACCCCCGGTGACTCATATGGAAGAGGCTTCTCTCATAGTGGTGGTTTCCCACAGGCCACTAACTACGGGGGTCCTTTCCCTGGCTATGGCATGAATGGCAGAAGTTTTATTCCAATTGATAAAGGGCGCAGGAGAGGAAGGGGTAATTCTTTGTTATGCAGCTGTGACGGTCCACTTGACTTCCTCAATGAGCAAAGCCGGGGTCCACGTGCCACCAGGCCTAAGAAGCAACCAGAGGATGATAGTAAAGATGAGAAGCCTTCTGTTGGACTTAACCAGGAGCCATACAACAGGGCTGACTTTGTTATCGAGTACAAAAATGCTAGATTTTTTATCATAAAATCATACAGCGAAGATAATGTGCACAAGAGCATCAAATATGGTGTTTGGGCTAGCACCACAAATGGAAACAAGAAACTAGACGCAGCCTATCGTGAAGTGAAGGACAAGGAAGAACATTGTCCCATTTTTCTGTTGTTTTCGGTAATAATAAAAAACTTTATCCTGTTTCCCTGTCAGTGTTTTCAGGGGCTCTCTGTTTGTTACTTTGCATATGTTATTCCTCACTGAGAATTGGAAACTGGACCAATATGTGCAGGTGAATGCTAGTGCACAGTTCTGCGGTGTTGCGGAGATGACCGGCCCAGTGAATTTTGAGAAGAGTGTGGACTACTGGCAGCAAGATAAGTGGACTGGCCAGTTCCCTGTGAAGTGGCACATAGTGAAGGATGTTCCAAATAATCTCTTCCGCCATATAATTCTTGAGAACAATGAGAACAAGCCTGTAACCAACAGCCGGGACACACAAGAGGTACAATGCTTTTGAATAGCATTTTCCTTCATTACTTGGTTTGCACATTTGTTGTCTTATTATAGTTACTCTTATTTATTTCATAATGATATCACTCATCAAATTGGTAGGATACAGCATACATGGTTTCATGGGAGCAACTGACAAGTGCTAACGTTGGTAATGCTCTGTTTTCAACTAGTTGATGTTAAAAAATCGAGCTTATTGTAGGTGAAACTGGAACAAGGACTGGAGATGCTGAAAATCTTCAAGGACCATGAGGATGTTGTGTCAATCCTTGATGACTTTGACTTTTACGAGGAACGTGAGAAGGCCCTGCTGGAGAATAAGGTGAGGCTGCATCAGCAACAACAGATGTCCAGCTCCAGTGTTTCTGAGCCCAAGAAGCCGACGACTGTGCCCACTGACCTGGTGGGTCATATCACCAATAGTCCTAGTGTTGTTGAGCCCAAGAAGCCCTCAACCGTACCCACCGACATGGTGGGTCATATCACCAAGACTTTCGCACAGGCCGTGCGGCTTGGCGAGGCCAAGAGTGTGAGCCCTTCTCGCGATAAAGTCCCCGATGGAGATTCATCTGCAGTTGCGAAGCCTGTTGAAGTGAAAGAGAGCAATTGAAGTGCGATTTGGCTGTGGTTGAAATTCAAATCATGTGCTTCCCCATCAGAAAGCTGGGTGCATAAAGACATCTGGTGCCGCCAACATAGGATGGCGTCCTGCGCTTCTGGTCAAGCATGATGTACACTAGGAAGATACATAGGGCATGCCCTTTGCCAACCTTGGATGGAAGCTTAGTGGAGTAGTTTCTTACATAGTTCCTCTTGCTTTCATCTCTTCTGTACTTTTCTTTTTCTGTCTCAGTTTCCTTTTGCATTTAATATATATGGGTATGTTTATTCCTCAGTGGGCAGTAGGTTAAGGTGGAGGGCTGCAGTTTTTGTGCAAGCCCTCTGTAAGTTCAATGTTCGATCGCAGATGAATAAAGCTATTCTGTTACATTTTCCTTTTTTTGAGCTGTAATTTTCCTTGTTACTTATTGATGGTGCAGTTCTGAACAATAAGCAAATACAGTTGTAACCCTTTTGGGCAACTATCTTATGGAATTGCTCGTTCCAACGTGGCAAGCTAGTTTAACAATGCAAGTTGCACCATGATCAGCAATATAATTTCTAAGAACTAATTCACCATGATTTTTTGATGATTTGACAAAGTATTTACTTGCTGCTGATGCGTGATTTGCACTGTTCTTCCATTACCATTTACACTTCTTGCGAGTTAATTTTGCATTTATACTTTTTCTTGTCATCTTTACTAAGCTGGAGTATAATTCCCAGGTTTGCCGGAGATAAATTGCCTGAATTTCAAATTTGTGTCGGCCGATTCAGGTGAGAAGGAAGCGGACGACGGGGCCTCAGCCCTGAATGCCGGGGAGTATGGGTGGTTAGCTGGTTTATAGGGATGGTCGGGGGCGGCGGCAACCATGACAGTGGGTGAGCGCCGCCGGCCACGGGCGATGGTTTGGGGAAGACGATGAGCGATATCGGGTGAGAGGTGGAAGAAAGCGATCTGGCCGTTCGATTTAGATTGGACGGGCAAAAGAAAAATCGACTAATCCGATTTTTTTTTCCCGGGTCGAGTGACCCTAGCCTGTCCCTTCAACAACGAATCTCACCCGCAGGCTCCCGGCCATATCCCACCGAATCTTCCAGGTTCCACTCCACCCACCCACCTGCGCCGCCAGCTCTAAAGGAGGCGGCGTCGGCCGGCGGGCGAGCGCACGCCCAGGCCAGCTCTAGAGGGGAGGGAGCAACCATGGCGGGGGACGGGGAGGACGAGGTGCCGGCGATGGGCGGAGACAAGCTGATCCTGCGGGGGCTGCAGTTCCACGGCTTCCACGGCGTGAAGCAGGAGGAGAAGAAGCTGGGCCAGAAGTTCGTGGTCGACGTGGACGCCTGGATGGACCTCGCCGCCGCCGGGGACTCCGACGACATCGCCCACACCGTCAGCTACACCGACATCTACAGGTCCACCCCGTCTCGGTCTCGTCAGCTTCAGTTTTTCGTACAGCTTCAGCTTCAGCTTCCTGACACCAGAGTATGTAATGTCACTCCTCTGCAGGATAGCCAAGGGCGTGGTGGAAGGCCCGTCGCGGAACCTCCTGGAGTCGGTGGCGCAGTCGATCGCCGGCACCACGCTGCTCGAGTTTCCCCAGATCTCCGCCGTCCGGGTGAAGGTCGGGAAGCCCCACGTCGCGGTGCAGGGCGTCGTCGACTACCTCGGGGTGGAGATACTGAGGAGGCGCAGAGAGGCATGAGCACAAGAACCGGAGTACCTCATATGAGAAGCCTGAACAGAGTTGATCTCAGTTGAGCCCATCGATCCCTGTGTCTTATATCTATCAATCTATGTATGTATGGACATGATGTTTGTCTGCGCTCAATAATTTCTGAATTGGGAATCATGTTCTTGCCTGCATAGAGTTTCTGAATGTTCTTTTCCAAACAAAAAGAAATCCACTTTGTGAAGTGTATACAGCACAGGAGAGAGCATCATAAACCAGTGTGGATCTCAGTCCTTGTGAACAATCAGGCATTGGACCTAGAGCATGTTAAACCGCTGTCCCGTAACTGAATCGAAGAGTAACAATTAAGCATGGGCGTCCTTCTCCTGGTCTTGATGCCGGGTGCAGCGCAATGGCAGCCGCCGTTGCCAGCTTCGACGCCACCCCAAGCCAGCCACTGCCGGAATGGCTTGGTTGAGTGTCTGAGAGCATCGCCTTCCACGGTCAAGCGCACGACCATATCCTCAGGTGGAAAAACGACAATATCGGTTCGATGACTTAAGCCCATGGCCCCGGCTACGACAGTGACACGCGCAGGTCGTCCAAACTCTAGCCGGGAATTGATACTATGCCCGTACCCTTGAAACTCCTGGCCCTCCCCACTGCCCATGTAGGATATTTGTTTCACTCCAACATCCCATACTTGACTAAGAATAAAAGAAATGATTTGGCGACATGTTACTGAGCTATCGATCTTTAGCTAGCTAGCTTCACCATTTATACTGGGAGTTTGCAGCTAGATCATACCATTTTAGCCATGTAGTCATGCATATATCATTTGGACATCTCCGTCTCGTTTTGTGATATTTTTTACGTACTTTCACCTAACTGGCATGAAGGGCCTTCCATCTTACATGAAGTAAACATGTAAAAATGATATGGGTGGCGGTTTCTAGGTTCGGTCTCCGCACGGACTATGATGTGTCAAAACAGATCCCCACTTGTGCCAGCTGCGGTTGCCTTGGCCGGTTGGCCCTGGTGGGCTGTACTGTAGGTTCCAGTTCATACCAGATTATAATAGAACATCACACTATATCCCAGAAAAGAAACTTGTTATAACATAGGGCACAAAACTTGGAAATTAATTTTTCATGAAGAAAACATATAAGAGACATTGATTGCGTTTATGAAATATAACTAAAACATAGGAATATTATTGAAAATAGCTGAAACTTTGAAATAATTAAATGTTTCTGAAACTATTTCCAAAACAGTGTAAAATCTCTACTTTGTTAGGTCTACAGTACCGGAGAGAGCATCATAAACCGACCAGATCTGAACTCAGAGAGTCCTGGTCATGCTGTTGCGTCACCTGCATGTGTTTGGATGGATCTATGTGGAGTATCGAAACCGGTGTCGATCTCAGCTTCTACTGACCCATTACGACTGAATTCTTAGCATGCTCCTCTGATTTTAGGTTTTCGGAACTTCGGATCAATGTGACAACGAAATCTAGAACGAAATTATAATAGGAGGAATGCTGCATCTACGGAAAATTTCTTACCGAGTGGATTCACGGATTGAGACAGAGGCTCACAGTGAAAATTAGTGGGAGTACAAGATCCTTCGGCGTGAAAGAACCGTTTTACGGGGGCGACACATTCTTACTATTGTTCCTTCTTTTTTGATAAATAAAGGAAGAGCCTCATATTTCATTTTCAGTAGGAGTACAATCATTACATAAGGCCTGCTGGGCCGTCAACAACATCGTACAAATAGAGCTCACCATAACACTCCAGCATGTGTAGCAAGTTCATGGGCGACCTGGTTGCACTCTCTTCTGACCAAGCTAGGTGTGCAGGCTTCAAAATTGTTCACGAGGTCATGTATATCTGCATAAACTGCAAGGAGTTCAAAGAAACTAGTACTACCAGTTTCTAGGATCAGAGGTCCCTGATATACAGCTTCGAAGCGAATGTGGTGACAAGCAAAGCTGTTTCTAGCGATGATTGTATGTGACGGCGAGAAATCCATCGCTCGTGTGGACTCTGAGATCGCACCGTCGTGCATCGTATAGAAGTGTGGTTCATTTTCCCGACTGAATACAGGTCAATATGTCCTGAAAATTTTCTGACTTGTACCAGCTTGCCTATTAAGTACATGTGCATGCCATTACACTTTGAAAAACTCGCAGAAATGATATTCAACCTTTAGTTCATAAAATCCTGAAAAGGATCGCAGGATGGAGTGACAAGCTGCTTTCCTATGCTGCCAGACCGACTATGATTAACGTTTGTCTAGCCAGTATTCATATTTATCTTTTGTCTTTTTTAAAATTCCCCAAGAGGGCAGTAGGTTTGGTTAATACTCATATGGCCAATTGCCTTTCTTGAAGGTCATAGTAAAATCTATCTAACAAACTAGCCATTAGTCTCCATGAAAAAAGTTTGCTGGTTTAGGCATCCCTAACATACACTAGTCAAGTCTGGGATGGAGAGACCTTGAAACATTTGGTTTCAGCTTGAAGCCATTACCAAAAGCATCACTGTATAATGGAGATACTAACTCGTTGGTTTGGCAATAAAATGTATGAGGAACCTACTCCACTAGTTTATTATATGCAATCATCAATTATAGAGGTGTGTTCCCTGTTTTCATCCCTCTGTTTGGAAGCTTGTGGTCACCTGTCGCCCTGCCATCTGGCTTAACACTCTACCAAATGTTCTTTTTTCATTAGTTTTGTATTTGTACTGTAAAAGCTTGTTGTCTTGTTCCTGCGGTAAGATAACTGAGAGGTCGTTCTTGTTTCTCTTTCATTTTGTACAAGTACTATAAGTGCTTTTGAGTTCTGTTGGAGTCTGGTTTTAAGTTTGAACACCTGTAGTAGTCTTGGTATATTAGGCTTCTTTTGGAGTAATGAAGTTGGGGAAGTCTCTCCCCGTTGATCTAAAAAAGGGGAACATGTGTGGGCCCTGCGGGCCATATCACGTGGCATCGTGAGGAAGCGGCTGAGCGTCCTCCCAATTGCAAACACTTTCCTTTTCTATTTGGGCACAAGTGCAACAAACAATGCCAGTTGGTCCACGACTTTTACTCGAAGGAAACAACCAGACTCGACTTAGGACTCTGAGCACTTTCACTGCTTGTCTCATAACCTAATCGAAGAGGAGCACTTGACCCTCACGTATACCACTATAAAATGGGAAGTAGCAATTCTGTGCTTCAGCATGAGCCATCTCACGAGGGTCACGCTAGTTATTCTTGTCCTGCTCTTCATGTCGGGTGCAATGGCAGCAACCGTTGCCAACTTTGACGCCACCCAGAGCCGGCACCTGCCATTGCCGGAAGGATTTGTTTGGGTGTCGGAGAGCACTGCCTTCAATGGCCAAGGCCACAACCCTCACAGCAGCATCTCTGATGTCCATGTCCTCAAGTGGAACAACGACAAAATCGGTTGGACGACCTATGCATACGGCCTTGGCTACAACAATGAGATTTAGATGTGTAGGGCGTCCAAACTCTGCCAGAAAACTGACACGATGCACATACACTTGAAACTCTTGGCCCTTCCCACTGCCCATGTAGGATATTTGTTTCACTCCAACATCCCATACTTGATTAAGAATAAAAGAAATGGTTTGGCGGCATGTTACTGAGCTATCGATCTTTAGCTACCTAGATTCACCATTTATAGTCGGAGTTTGCAGCTAGATCATACATTTTGGCCATGTGGTCATGCATATATCATCTGGACATGTACATCTTGTTTTGTGATATTTTTTTCCTCACCTAACAGGCACGAATGGCCTTCCGCCTTATGTGAAGTAAGCATGTAAAAAAGCTTTGGGTGGCACTTTCTATGTTCGGGCTCCGAACGGAATATGATGTGTCGAAACAGATCCCTGCTTGTGCCCGCCGCGGTTGCCTTTGCTGGCTAGCCCTGGTGGCACGTACTCCAGTTTCAGTTCAGAGCTGAGTAAAATAGAGCATCACACTGTCACCTAACAAAAAATAACTTGTTATAACGTAGGGCAGAAAACTTCGGAAAACTTAATCATTTTTGTTGAAAAAAGCATATAAGAGACATTGCTTGCGTTTATGAAATATGACTGAAACATTGGAATATTAGTGAAAAATAGTTGAATGTTTCTGAAACTATTTCCAAAACAGTGTAAAATTTGGTAAAATTTCAACCGATTTCAAAATCAGTTTTCAATCATCCCTGTCATATTATCACTCTGTCCGTTGGATCTAATTTGTATTGCCTAGCAAGCCACCGGCAGGTACCGACACCGCTAGAAAAAACTATTTCCGCCACGACACCCGCTTCAGCTGCATCGGATTAGTGCAGTTCAAGGGTTGCTCCCCTTTAGGCCTTTACAGTATATGTTGTCCGCTCGTACACTTGACAAGTCTGTCCAGTAGCTCTTTAGAGAGGTGGCTGCAACGGTGATGGATGCATTGCCAGAACTGTGTACGGCGTCATTTAGCAGGCACCAAGGACACCACGGGATGCATTGCTCGAATAACAAAATTTGAATGAAAATTGACCGGAATTTGACAAAGACCTTGAAATCAAGAAAATGGAGAGCAGATCCAGCAATGTCGAGGTTATTGGAGCACACAACAATGACCCCCCCCCCCCAATCCCGCGCATCGGGCACATCTTCCTGTGCGCTGTGCAACAACCGCTCAAGGTGTGACGGTCTGTGGGTTGCGGACATGATGATCACGAAAGGGAAAGACGAATGCTTGTGCATGAGATTCATATAGGAGAACATGAAGCTAGGGTATCTTGAAGGAGAGCTCCTGTACGGCGCCTTCTGTGCCCTGGAACGAATTGGCACTCACGTGCGCCCCAGTGGGCTGCTGCCCAGCAACGCGCCTTTCTTCCTCCGCTGGTTCCAATTGCACGCCCGCTCGCTCGCTCGCTCGCTTGGCCACAGGTTTTTTTTTCGTATTTTTTTGCAGTTGGCCTGGTCGAAAAAGGCCGTTGTTTGGTGCTTATGGAAGAAATTGTGAAATCAGAAAAG